GTCATAATGAACTAGGGCAATTGTACGGTTGAGTCAGACAATGCCTATTGTCTTAATGGACACATCGCTTTTTGTATTGTCTGTCTCTCTTTGTTATTTCATCAAATCAAAATCTTTGTTCTAACAGTAGTGTACAACTTTCCATGCGCATTGAGCATTGAGCCCAGGCTTCAAAKGACACTTTGCATAAATATTTTCTATACCCAACGTTCCTAAAAGACGCCTCTGTTAAATGCTTTATTTGTGATCAGTAAACTCGAGCCCTATGAGGAATTGTAGTCCAGTCCTGGCATTCTTTTCGAAAGAGAGTCCAGTATAACTTGCATGTGCTTGTGCAGAACAAGCCAATCAGATTAACATATAGTCATACTCGTAGCGCATGTTCGCGTTGATACATGATACATGTTGATACATGACTTGCAACGAGTGGTGAACGATAGAATTTGAATTTATTAGCTTTTACCCCGAGTTGGCGCAGGGGCACCGCAACAGCTCGCCGAGCCAATAAGTGCGGACCCTGTACTCTCACACTCACTACCTACATTAAGTATTTTAGCATACAGCACTCCTGACATGTTGATTTTTACTGAGAAGGGAAAACCGGAGGACCCGGAAAAGCCCTTGTGACAAGGGAGAGAACAGCACATCAAACAAACTCAAGCTCACATATGGTCCATGCCCGGGAATCGAAACCGGACCACAGCGGTGAGAAGCCAGCAGTTTAACACTAGGCTACCCATATAGATGTTATAGATTAAACCGGCGCCTCTAAACTTATATCGGACAGTAATACGATTTTTAAAAGCCTTAAAAGCCTTGGAAATGAAGAGGAAAATAATACACTTGTTTTCCAAGTGACAGGGACRATAATACATCACAGATGAATTAAAATGACATTTCATCAGACTTTCTCAGTGTGTATTAAAGAATTGTAACCTCGCGATCACCAAGTCCTTGTGCTGATCGAGAGGTCACAAAGCTGACATGCGCATTCAAGTTATACTGGAATCTATTTCCCCGCGAGTCCTGTAGGGGGTCAAGCGGCCTAGGGATATCGAGAATTGTGTTTAAACTGTTTTCTTCGTACAGATGGGTGTAAAACAATGGAGTTTCCAGAGTCCTATTTCTTCAACGGCAAAGCTCTTGTTGGCTTTGTACTCAAGACTATTCAAGTGGCAGACGAGTCTCAATGTAGGGCTCAGTGTTATATGACCAAGAACGACCATTGCCTATCCTACAACTACATYCCAGAGCGATTGACATGTGAACTCAGCCAATCAGATCACAGGGTCCATCCAGATAACTTGGTAGCCAGGCAAGGTTCATTGTATAAAGCTTCAAAAGTATGCAGTCTTTTTCTTTGATTTGTTGACTACAATTAGATTTTATTGTCATAACCCAAAGATCACGTGACGACACCTTCCATAAATCAATAGTTTATACTCTCTTCTCATACTCATTAATTATTCATGAGGTATCCAGCCAATCCCTGATTGTAATTTTTACCACGTGAAGTAACTTGAAACCAGAGGAAGTACTCGTACCTTGTATTCTACCTTATTTCCAGTTACTTCTACCTTTTTTTGAAACCAGAGGAAGTACTCGTACCTTGTATTCTACCTTATTTCCAGTTACTTCTACCTTTTTCCAGTTACTTCTACCATGTTTCCAACTACTACTAACTAATGATAATCAAATTATTAGAAATAATCAGTTTAACATTAATTTAGTGAAAAAAGGTCTTTGATACATGACTCCCTCACGACTCAATCCCCTACCGTCCAGTCTATATGCGCCTGAAAACCTTAGTGGAGATGCAATAAATCAATATATTTCTGTTATATGTATTTCCTTCGCTTTTACCCCTCCCGAATAATTAATGAGCATGAGAAGTCGTTCAAAGTCCTCCAATTCGGACTGGACGGGATTCCAAGTCCTTGCAATTAGTTCCAGTCCTTGGCTAACGCTTCGGACTGGAACTTATTGCGCGGACTAAAAATCTCGTCCAGACTAGTCACCTCATTACTTCAAGACGTAATAAGATCATGCTGACAGTTACCGTTAATAGATCAATGATTATCGCCCCAAATTAAATGAAAAAGGCCTCGTTTTTAAATTTCGGGTAAAAGTCACCTCAAGGACGAGTCTAGGGTATGACTAGAATGTGGTTGTCAATTCCTGTATTAAAGTGTAAAAAATAWAGAAATGGAAAATAGAATAAAAAAGAAGAAAACAAATTCCCCTTTGCATTGTTGTGGACCCACCACTCCTGTATTCATTACAGTTGTTTTCATACTCCGTGATCAAAAAGATAAAAAAAAAAACGAAAATAAATGTAGTATTCATGTTAACCTGTGTGTAAATGAAACCCCTCTCAGGCATAGCCTGATATATCTCATGAATATATTCTATTTAATCCATTCTATATTTCATGCATTCTATTTTATCCATTTGTTTAAAGAATGGCTGTTCGTGTACAAGAGATCAAATGTGTCTTTACAACTTCACTACCAATAGCCATCGCTGTAAATATATAAACGGATCGTCGTCCGCCAGCTGTAAGTATCAGAACATAACCCCTCCCCTTCTAAGGTCTTAAAATTAACAAACAAATTCAAAAAAGAAATAAACTTACAAATTATAAAGACACAATTTTCATACGCCTAGTCAATAAGAAGGATGCAGTGTTTTAAGTAGGTGTGTGTATACATATCGATCCTCCTTCCAAGCGCGTCTAGCTTATTGAGATCTCTGTCTTCCTTAACAGTCGAAATGAGGTGTTGCTAGCGGAGAAGAGGCCTATTTAGTTGATGTCGTACGTTTTGGGTCACATGATGGACCTTTATATCCCGATAAAGCACTGATGTTTTATTAATCAGTTCTATATCAGATATAAAGAACTGATGTTGAAGGTCATCAGCGCTTTATCGCAACCCAACACTAGCAAAGGTCTCAGTTTTAATGTCGCATCATAGACCTTTGCTAGGTTTTAAATCAGTTTGAATCAATGTTCAGATCTGCAGTATAGCATAGACTAGCCGTTCTTACGTGTGGGATCAGAATTCTTTCATTTGTGACAAATGCACATGCTCAGTAGAAGTTTAACATACATWATCTCTGTTTTCGCATTTTTTAGCTTTTTWCTAAAATGATAACAATTTCTGGATGTTGGAGTTCTAGAAGTAGTATAAAAAACTCGCAGTTGTGCTTTATCGGGGATATATACACTCGGCCTTTGGCCTCGTGTCTATWTCTCCCGATAAACCACTCCTGCTCGTTTTTTAAACACTACTTCTAAAACAAAACATCTTACTTGATACAGCCATTCACCAACATACGTGTGAGGTGCACCATGGGTAAATCACAAGATTTTTGCTTATTTATTGCCAACATAAAAAACTGCAAATTATTCAATATTAGGATTATTCAAATATGATAAAAGGGTCAAAAATATCAATTTTTATGTATGGTTTGACCGAAACTCATCTCTTTTAATCTTAAATCTCTTGTTGCTTGATCCTCAGCGCCGACAACAACCAAGGGCCCTTCCCAACACGCATCCACCWCTACTGGTTCAAATCTCCAGCAGAGTGAAAACAGCACTTTAACTCCTACTGCACCAGCCTCAACCAAAGATGGGTCCATCCTAAATACTTTGTCAGYTACTCTTTCTGCRRCCAGTACWGTGATCAACACAGGACAAGTTGAAAGTGCTAGTGCAACCCCAAGAACATCTTCAGCTGGAGATATGACGTCTGTTATTACCGCTCAAGCCACAATCCATGTTACTGCAGCTCCAAAACCCTCAGTTGTGACTGATATTATTCTATCAGCCATTACTTCTGCTAGCAGCTTCATTGCTACAGCACTTGAAAGTAGTCCTCCCAAATCCTCAGACTTTGTGTTGGGTTCGCTAGGAATCATGACTACTCCTCTTGAGGTACGTCAGTGGATGTCATKAGTAGAGTGGAAATCATAGCATGATTACGATTTAAGCCTCAGTGTTAATCTCATGATCATGAACTACCTTGAGTTTTCAACCTTATCAAATTCATAAGGTAAAAAGAGTGGAAAATCATTGCCGTGACCACATCTTTATATGAGCAAGAGATTTGTCCTGATTTGCATACGACTTAAACTTCGCGTTTTCGCATCTCGAGGGTTTTCTGCAAAATATGCTTTAGCTTATGTTGGAATTTGATAAGCAATATAAAATATTCGCGTCCGACCTTTATGGGCTATAAAACTGCTCGCTTGCAGCTCGCAGTTTTATATGCCCATAAAGGTCTCCCGCTCATATTTTATATATTACTTAAAATACTTTTCAAGTAGCAACAGCTATTGCTGGTTTTCATGATATTTTGCATGTATATGTTGACGCTTCATGAATGTGTATAKATATTCCCTTCCTGACACCGATCTTCTTTATTACTTTTCAGTCAAGTGTAGCAACAACA